CGGCCACGGCAGCCGCATTCCCGCCGCGGAGCCCGAGGGAGAGGAGGTGCCGCCCCCGCACAGACCCGGGACTACCCGGCGGAGGCGCGCGGCCGGGGCCCGGAGGGTGAAGGGTGAAGGAAAGAGGTGACAAACGCGCGGTGATCGCGGATCGCGGACACCCACGAGGACAATCCCGACAGCCCTGTGCGCCCTGAGACCCCTGCAGGCTCCGCCCGCCGGTGCACAACTCGCCAGGCGGCGCTGCGCCCAGAGCAGGGGAACCAAGAGTCCTCGCCCCTGGAGCGCCGCGCGTCCTGATTGGTCCTGGCACTCCGCTCCAGCGTCCCCACCCCGCCCCGCCCTCCCGGGTTACTGTCCCCCGTGGACCCTGCACTAGGCAAGGACCGCATCCCCACCGTGGGATGCGCTCTGCACCAAGGGTCATGTTCGTGGGAAACAAGGATCTTTTGGAGAAGGACGAAGGAGGCACATTTCCCACCCGGATTTATGGACTGTCGGATGTGATGTGGGCCTATGTGTATCCGTTATGCCTTTACCAACCTTCCCATTGAAGGTGAACGCAGCCAATAGGCCCACGAACACCACAGCCCAATCCCAAACGGGAAGCAGTCCACTGAACTGATGCACCTCCTAGGCGCGGGGCTACCCTTTGTTCCATGGCTTCCTGCTGCTAGCTACATTGTTTGGGCTCCTCACCTACATCTCATATCCCCAGCATATTGTATGCAGGTGTTTCTTTTCAGCTGATCAGTTCATTGTGACTATATACACCATCCTGGCAGGACCAAAGATAGATTCCAAAGAGATGCGTGGTCCTTCTTTTAGCCTTCAAACTGTTAAAAACAATGGTCTTCAAGAAATCGGAATTTCTCCATACTCTCATACCGGGGAAGGAAAAGGTTGAAGCCCAGTGCTAGCCAGAGCAGGGACTTATTTCTCCAAAAGAGGTTTCACACAGTTCTAACAACTTGTCAGACCATCTTGTAGGAAAGAGGAAGCTGAGTCAATGGTGGAAGGGACCACTGTCTGCCCAGGACTGCTTAGTTAGGCGTATTCCTTGAAAATCTAAACCTCATGCCAGGACTCTGAAGGTAAACTTGGGGTGAGGAGGTCACTAGATCTCGTTATCTCCCTCTTTTCCCAGTGTGGCCACATTGAATAAATCACCTTTCTTTGTCACTGTTACTTATGTTTAACTGTCCTGTTGAGGGCAGGTGCTTGGTCCTGGTTTGTTAGGACTGCCAGGGCGGGAGTCGAACTTAATGGTAGCAACAGCTGTGTATGCTCCACCATGGTCTGTTCAAGCCCATCACCAGGAGGTTAGACTCGGGTAGACCCCAGCTGCTCACTAGCAACCAGTATTAGGCAACTGGGGAGCTCTGGATTCAGTGAAAGACTACCTCTTCCCCAAGCCCCTTCTCAAAAGCCAAAGTGGAGTAGAGGACGACACCCAATGTCAATCTCTGCCCTCCATTTGCGCGCGCGCGCGCGCGCGCACACACACACACACACACACTCATGCACACGTCTATGTGAACCTGTGCACATATACAAACATGCACATACATACACAGAACTTCTGGTTTTTAAGAAAATTGTTTTTAATGGACTCTTCCGGAATACATCATACCTCTACAGTTATACCAAAAAACAAATGCATGTGGTCACTTTAGTAAATGAGTTGATGCCTTTAAAGGGTAAAGGGTACAGGGGAGCCTGATCCAAAATCTCTCCTTTTGATCAGTCTCCCAAGGGACAGGGATGCTTATCTCTCTGTTTAAACACCAAATTTCCGGCCGGGCGGTGGTGACGGTGCACGCCTTTAATCTTTAATCCCAGCACTCGGGAGGCAGAGGCAGGCGGATCTCTGTGAGTTCGAGGCCAGCCTGGTCTCCAAAGCGAGTTCCAGGAAAGGCGCAAAGCTACACAGAGAAACCCTGTCTCAAAAAAAAAAAAAAAAACACCAAATTTCCTGCCAAAACTTGTCTCTGGTGATCTTAAAGAGACGCAGGAGGATCTCACTGCTCCCCTTCCCCACTCCCTACCCAACTCCCATGCCAAAGATTAAGCCTAGAGGCTTGTAGGCAGGTAATACCACTGTGCTGAACCTTAAAACACTGTGCTCAGCTCATTTCTACGACAGAGACAGAATGCTTGGAGCCTATGAAATGCAAACTGAGCCTCTTCAAGCCTGTGTTAGCAACCGATACTTCCTGGGGGGCCAGGCAAACTCCACAGCAAAGTAGGCTGCAGAAATCTGAGATGTTTGGAGCTTTTTTCAACAGTGGTGAAAACACCTTAAACCTATGAGAGTTGACTGTAATTTGCATTGGCAAGACAGAAGAAGGAAACTCCATTTAATGACTTTCTTCTAACTGTATTACTACTAGGTGTGTAGTGATTTTTTTTTTATTATCTTCTGTTTGTTGGAGCCCCCACACTTGAAATTTTAGATATATAGCTGAATAAATTAAATCATAGTTGATGGTTTTTACAATATCTGTAATCTCAGAATTTGGGAGGCTAAGGCAGGTGGATAGAGAGTTTGAGGCCACTGTGGATTACAGAGCAAGACTGTCACAAAAAGAAAAGGAAGGAGCGGAGAGAGAATGAAGGAAGAATGGAGAAATTGTTGCTGGAGATACAAGACATTTTATTTGGTATATGCTGAGTAAGAATGAGCAGCACCCACCAAGTGCTTCAGATTTCTTTATGAGCCTAGTAAAAAGAATTTTACGTGACAGAGGAGGAAAATGGGAATAATAAAACCAGCATCTAGGGGCTCACTTTGACCAGGAGCCGTGGTACACACCTGTAATCCCAGCACTCCGAAGGCAGAGACAGGAAACACTGCGGGTGTAAGAGCGGCTGTGGCTACATAGCAAACATCCGGCCAGCCAAGCTAACCTAGCACCATCCTGTCTTCACAAACAAAACAAAGATACCATCTCATTTGTAATCGTTGCTAAGGCTTCAAACCTCTGTATTGTAATCACTGGTTGAATCGGGTAATTACGGGGCTAGGGCTCTGGTTGAGTTGTTCAAGTGTTTGCTCAAGCATGAGGACCCAAGTTCTCATCCCCAGCTCACAGGTAAAAAGTTGCACAAGGTGAGACTCATCTGTAATCTTAATCCTGGGAAAAAGAGGACAGGAGGATCCCTGGAGCTTACTGAACAGCTAGTCTAGCTGAATCAGGGGAGCTCCAGGTTCAGTGAGAGACCCTGTCTCAAAAAAAGAAAGTGGAGAGGAAGATAGGAAGACATTTTGCTCCCACACACAAGTGCTCACATTTGCACACACAAACCTACAGACGCACATGCATACACCATCCATAAAAATTAACTTTAATTTCATGAGCATATAAATATGTAATATTATGCCTTTTCCAATGCATGGTCTCACTATCTGAGACCTAGCTCAGGAATATTATTGAGTTGATAAATTATGCTTTAGACAACTGAATATTTTACATAATTTTTATATAATTACATGTAAATTATATGGAAGTTAGACACCAGCATGAGTCATAAAATTATTTATACATATGTTGTAGTACAGAACCTTCTCTTAAATAAATTTCCCCTTATAAATATGGTCAGAATTTTGAGTTAAAAAAAAGATATTGATTTCTTCAATGTTTAGGTTATAGTGGAGAAATTTTAAAATAAATATGATGCTGAGAAGCAAACTTCATCACATTACAGCCATACCTATGGTGTGTCTGAAATAATAAAATATTAAAGAATTGAATTAAAATAATAAAAAAATTAAAGAAAATCCCTAATTCAGCATTTGACCCAAATTTTGTGCTGCTCTCCACATGCCTCCCGCCCTTCACCTCTGAGGAAGACCATTCTTTCATCATCGGAACCCCCTTTTATGTTTCCAAGTATTCAAACCACTTGCCCATCATTTTCCCAGCACCCGTTTGGTGAGCATCGTAGGTCATCTGGGGATGAGGAAACAGGAGTCAGCCAGATGAGGCAAAAGAACTGGCCTCAGGTCAAGAGGAGTAAGGCACAGCACTGGGAGCCCAGCCAAGACATTATCAGCTGAGCTGATCTTATGCCCTTCCTGCCAGCCGCACCAGCATCCATCTTCACATGGGTTCCTTCACGTGTCAGGGTAAACCTTTCTAGCTGGGGTGCTTTTATCATCGTTGTTGAAATTGATACAGACGATCTGTGATTCAAGCTTTCTTTAGCAATTTTGTCATAAGCATCTGTGTCAGGATTCTATTTAAATGATATCACACGGCATCGATGCTGGGAAGGAAAAGAAGTACATGAAGTCATGGCCCCTTTTCTGAGTCAGGTCACCTCCCTCTAGTCCTGACTTGTCACTAGTTTATAAATCAAAATTGGAAAATAAGTAGACCCTGTTAGCTTTATCCATTCTTTTTCTCAGCTTGATGTCTGCTGGGTTTATTCAGCAGTTTTCCTTAAAGAGAATCTGAACTGCCTGATAGCCACCAACTGGCCCCAGCCCAGGGCCAGCAAATCCAAGGCTGACTGGAGTAAGAAGCCTGCCTTGTGGAAATGAGGAGTCCTTCAGAATGTTCTGGGGCTGGGCAGTGAGCAAGCAGGCAAGGAAGGGTGAAGGTGGGAATTTTGTTTTCACTTTTAGTTTTAGCTTTTACTCTGAAACAGGATCTCCAATAGCCCAGGCTGACTTCAGACTCACTATGTAGCTGCAAAAGATCTTGAATTCTGATCATCCAGTCTCCACCTTTTAGAAGTTACTGCCATTCACCATCACACCCAGCTGAAGAATGAAGATAGAAGGATCAAAGTGTAGCTATGTCA